GGTCCTTGTAGGAGCAAGTGTGTCTAATCCATGCCTGAATACCAGGACCCAGGCTGAAGCCTGTTCACATGGACTTTTCTAGAACACTTCTTGAAAGAAATTCCAGAAGAATTGTACAAATGAATTTTCTACAAATGAGTCCATCATCTAAACTCATCTGAAGGAATCTTGCATCAGGATTAGCCCTCTCACTCAGGAGGCCTCACCAATGCCAAGAGTGTGATGTGAGATGTCTACTAACAATGCCTTACTTGTACATTAGCTGTGTGCGGGTAAGTGCTCTCTGACACTCAGCAGCACAGCCATCGGACAAGACGCTTCTCAAGCAGGAAACACAGCATGGAGGGATTCCTTGCTGTTCAAGCTCAGAGCCCAAGAGGAAAACGAGGCACTGTTTTTGCTCGGTGAGAAGAAAAGCGTACTGTACTGCCATTCAAGTCGTTCAACTAGGAAGACAGGTTAGGAAAGGAGACTGTTTGAAAACTAAACGGACGGAGCCTGCTGGGCTTACACTCTTGCTTCAGAGACAGTCCTCACATATGAAACATTCCACTGGCTCCTCTGTCATTTGAGAAAGTGAGTTGCAGTATGAATTTAGTTTTATTTTCTGAGGTAGGGCCTCACTCTGTTACCCAGATGGGCCTTGGACTTGAGGCCATCCTCTTGCCTTAGGCTCCCCAGTGCTGGGATTACAGGCACAAATCACCACACCTAGTCCATTGCAGTTTTCCTGTGATCACAACAGACTGACACAGGAAGATCGTGAGTTCAGGGTCAGCTTAGGTTGTGAGAAGATGGGCAGAACCCTAAATGGACCTCCGATTTTTTTTTTTTTTTTTTTTGGTCTTGATCTACATAGTAAGATCCTGTCTCAAACAATACCCTCTACCCCCAAAAACAAACAAAAATCACAACCAAATACTCCACCAGTGATTTAATTTAACTGGATGTGACCCTGCCCCAAAAGACTGTTTCTAGGTACCAGTTTCTCTGAGAAAGGGATGACTGGCCACTACTGACTGCTTTGCCAAGCTCTGCAAGCTTCCAGAGGCTACCCAAAGGTGGGGCTCTGGGCATGTGCTGAACAGGGGGCAGGTTTGGGAAAGAATGGCCATTCTGGAACAAACAATGCTCGAGACAAGGCTCTGGAATGTCAACTTAAAAACAATAAAACCAAAAACCTAACCCTTGGATCATTTCTGACAAAATTTGAATCTACTACCAATCCCTAAGAACAAAATAGCCTTGACAATTATCTGAAAGGTTTTCAAGAAAAATTTATTTTCATAAATTAATTCATGTAACAGTGGGAATTTAGAGTCATAAACTATCAAACAGAAAAGGAACTGTAGGGGCATCATGTATACCAACATTACCAAAGATGGACACATTTCACTGAACTATTAGCCATGATAATATAGGAACACTTGGGACAGCAACTTACTGGCTCAAGGGGGCCTCTTGTTGAGAATTCAAATCCAATTCAACACCAGACAATCAGTCTTGTAAAGACAGAACAAGCCTGAAATCTCAGCATGTTGTGCTGGATGGTGGCTACATGAGGACCCCAGCTTCACAATCAAGAAAGCTTTTGCTCCTCAGCATATGCTAAAAGGGAATATTAATTGTGATTTGAACAAACCTAAGTCTCCCTAGCCAGTTCTATATAGAAGTTCAGTTCAGGAAAGCAACCCTCTCCTTGACAGGAATCCAGGTGAGGACATTCCATACCTCTGGCCAATTATTTATGCTTTGGATGCAGCCACCCATCGTGTGGTCTTTAAAAAGGCCCTTTTCATGATACCAGGGGGAAAGCTATAGAAATAAAACAAGGGGATCAAAGAAAGCACCAACTGCATACTCTCCTCCCCGCAGGTGCCAGGAGGGAAGTATTACGACCTAGAAGTTGGTCTTGCACAGATCTTAATGCACATGGTACAGAGGAGGTGGGGGCCCAGCCTGGGAGATCAGGGCCATGTCCACTTGGCTGCACTGCAGCTCTGGACCTGCGGCCACAGTCCTGCAGACTTGCTGCTGCTCTTAGCCTGGTGGGCAGGGGATGTGACCCAGGGAAGGATGCCCACAGAGTGGGATCTAGAATTGACCTCAGGTTGGCTCTGGAGCCCTCACAAAAGACCCTTTCAGGCAAAATTGTGAAGAAAAAAAAAATGTCATGATTTTCACAGCTCTTGGAGGAGCACAAAGTTCAGGATTCACAGCATGAGTTTCTGAGCTCTTCAGGCTCGAGTAAGGCAAAAGCTACACATCTTTCCCTCCCTCCCTCTCAGTCAGCTCTTACAGTAAGGGCAGCAGGAAGACAGACACAATCTGCTTTGACAGGTGATGAGGTACATCGAGATGAACGGAGAGAAAAGCTGGACAGGACGGCAGGAGAGAAAAAGAAGAGAGGCACTAAGAGAGGGAAGGAGGCTGCTACAGCTGGAAACCAAAGACAGCAAAGGAAATGGCTGACATCTCATTGGACCTGAGCTCTCCCTTCTTTCCCCACAGCCGTAACCTCAGAGGTGAGCACTATTAAGTTGTGCTTAATGGCAACTTCTATACTTGGGGTGGGGGGCTACCCCATCCTTAGAAATTCTACCAGTTCCTATCACAGAACACACCTGTAGTTCTGGGAGGTGACATGCCAACTGCCAGTATCTCCCATCATAGTCAGAGGCCACGGGTTCCAAGGACAATGAAGTGTCTCCGAGGCTGGCTGATCCGTGAGAAAGCGGACAGTACGACAGGTGTGGCCTGACCCAATGAGTCAACTTCTCTTAGCTTGGAAGTAGAAGAGCCTTTGTCAAGGGAAGGCCAAGAACTGCTGCTCCCCCTACACTCCCAGGACAAAGATGGAGCTGGGCATCTCTAGTCCTGCCACTGCCCAGGACAGTGCTTCCAGTCTTTCGAGTGCCATACGTGTTTGTCATGGGCAAATCCTGAAGGTCTGCTGTCATGCTGCTGAAGCCACGGCTGTGCACACCTCATCTTTTGTCTCCTGGGTGATCTGGTGGTGAAACTAATGAATGGCTGTCTACTGCCTGCTACCTCGCAAGCTGTCTAATGTACAGTGTCTTAGCACTTAGTCCTAAATACTTAGTACTTGTGACACAATGTGTAACTCATTCTGCTCCCTGCAGTGACATGACAGAGTTCAGAAGCACAGAGTATCTAAGAATCCTGCCCCAGGAAGGGAAAGGTACTGAGGTGAACACAGGCCACATTTGTATGGTCTAGGCAACACGGGTAAAGCAGGAGGATCTGCACACGTCACTGAGGACCAGCATGCAAACTAGCCCACACTCTTTTAATCTTATGGGGTCATGACCTTCAAAGCCTCCCAGACAAGCAGGTGTCTGTTAACTCACTAACAGCTGAGGTGGTGAAGGTCATGGTACTTTTTCCCTCTGCTCATGTCTACTTTTCTGTTCCAGTGCGGCACAGACCATTAAACTACAAAGGCACGAAAAGACCTGAAAACGGCACCCTTCTCCCTAGCCCCAAACAAACAGGGATGAAAGAATCCTGGGAGTGCAGGCTAACATTCCAGCACAGCACCACTCACTCTTCTCTACAGACAGACAGAAGCATCCCTGGGCTGAGCTAGGAGGATGGGAAAAGCGGCTAGTGACCAATGGCTGGGCTGAGCATATTACTCACCAGCCAAGGGATGCTAACTATCTGAACACAAACTGTGGGGTGGGTGTAAGAGCAGGAGAGACACTGGGATGAGCAAACACGAGGAAAGGAAGGCGCACGGTGAGGCCACAGCGGGAAGATGAGCTCTGTGGGGCTACTCCTCAGACACTGCAGCCTCCTGCCTGCAGACTCTTTTGGGGACAGACCTAAAAACTGTACTGCTTCCAGCCTGCAATCATTCCTGGTAGGTTTGACAAAGGACCAGAGTACATGAGGCACTCTCACAGAGCACTGGCTCTGGGATTTTGGGATCACCAGGTCTCGTCTATCAATCAACTCTCTCCCACTCCAGAAGCAGGCACTCATGCAGCTGCAAATGTGCTGGGCCAGCCTCTATCAATCACCGCTGTTCCCAACTCTGTCACATACCAACATTTCAGAGAGAAGCCACACTCAACCTTAATCTTTCTTTCGATGGTTACGAGAGAGAGCTGCTTCTACACCTGTCACTAAGCAGATATGTGTCCTAGGTGGGCAGGACTGAGGAGGAGGATAAGAAAGTGCTTCCTCTAATGAGCTACATGAGAAGCTGGAGATGGGGAGGGGCTGCCTGAAACACATGCATGGGAACACGCCCCATCCATGTGCTGATCAAATGCCTGTCACATATTCTCTCAAGACATGTATGTCTTTCTCCTTAATGTCTTACAAAGTGTTTTAAAATCACATTTAGAGACCCCAAACATGCAGCAGTAATACAAAAACAAAAAAGAAAAAAAGTGAAAATAATCAACACCACAACATTAAAAAAGTGCAACTTAGGTTGGGGCCTGGACGGGCTCCTCTGGCACTAGTGACCCACAGTCACAGATGGGAGAAAAGATGGGGAAAAGCCACAAACACACACACACACACACACACACACACACACACACACACACACACACACACACACACACATTCAGACTAAAGGTCCTGGGCAGACAGGATCAGTCCATCCTTCTCAACTACTGAAAAGAGCTGGTGGGAACACACAGGTCGTGTGGCCAGCAGCCCCTCCCCCCCAGGCTGGATTTCTAAGTCTTGGTCAAGCAGCACCATAAACAGAGAGGAACTTTCCTGTGATGCGCAAACAAACACCGAGTCCTTAGAGCCCTAGTGTGGCTTAAAATGTGTGGCTTCTTCCACCTGTGATGGGAGACACAGGAAGGAGATGGCCTGATGTCACCCAGGACCATTCCCAGGAGAAAGGGAGCATTCCTGAGGCTCTATACTCAGCAGTAGAATTAGAGGACCTTCTTCACCAGCTCCTAAAAAGGCTGCACCTTGAAATAAGTAAAAATTCACGGATTGGGCATTTGTGAGTGGTTTGGGCATAGGGCAAAATCAGGGAACCTCTTCCAGGGAGGTCTGAAAAGATTCAAAATGGAGACCCTGCAGTGTTCTCAGCAGCCTGCTGAATGCTCCTGCTCTTCCTCCTTGGCAAAGAAAGTCTCCAGTTCCAGCAGCTTCTGAATCAAAAGCGCATCCAGCTCTTGAGTCTGTAGGGCTGCCTTCTGGGCCCTCGTGAAGCTGCCCATCAGCTTCACTTTACCTCGAGCTCGTCTCTTCCGGGGGATGGTAAAATCCTGAAATTCCAGAACACGCTTCCTTTTTTGCTGGCTGACAGAGATGAGTGTACCATTTCTTTCTTTGGGTTCCTCAAAGATGGTCTCTAAACACCTGAGGATAGAGCACAACTCAGATCACTAATAGGTAGACTTACAGAGCCAGTTTGGATCAATCATTCTACCAACCAAAGCTATCTGCAATGATTCCCAACTTGACTATTTCCTGTGGCCAGCTATTTCTATGCATAGGAGAAAGCACCCATGTTTTATAAATATGTCCACAAAGGGAAAAAGTTCACACTCAAGAGAATACAGTAAAACTGAGACTAGTTCCTCACTCTAGCACGTATAATACTGGTAACTGCTGGTTTTGCGTATGTTCTTCAAAGTCAATATGTAGACACATTTAAGTAACACAACTGACACTGGGCAAACAGCAAACCTTTTTTCACAAAGCCCATGCTGGCTTTGAATGACCCTAAATTCCTGACACCGCCCCCATCTCTGCCTTCCAAGTCATGCTAATGTACCATATTAGGCTCCAGACAGTAAATCTTTTAAATTCCATGAGCCATATGGAGCTCTACCACAATTTTGAGTTTTCCTTTTGTGAATATAGCTATTGGCTCACAAACCATAAAAATAAAAGAAAATAAATGAAAACTGGTGGGTGGGAATATAAAGCATTTGTCGACCACACATGAGGGACTGCAACAACAATTTTTTATTTTTTAAGTTTTTTAAAGACAGGGGTTCTCTGTGTAGCCCTGGCTGTAGCACCACCTAGCTTTCAGTGTGGTCTTTAAAAAAATAAAAGGAAAGTTAGGCTGGGCTGTGGAAGCACAGACCTTTTATCCCAGCACTCACGAGGAGCAGAGGTAGGTGAATCTCTGAGTTGGAGGCCAGCTTGGTTTACAAAGCAAGTTCCAAGACGGCCAGGGTTACACAGATCAATCCTGTCTCAAAACCAACCAACCAATAACAACAGAGGAAAGTGTCAGGTATGGTGATGCAAGTCTATAATCCCAACCACCAGGAAGGCTGAGGGAGGGTCGCTTGGTTTGGGACAAGCCTTGAGTAGGCCTAGAATTTGCCAACCGATGGTACATCTCCCCAACAGCAGCAAACAACAAACACTGTTCTGCATGTGGGGCCTCTCTTATCTAGGAAAGACCCCATAGCTTGCTTCTAATTAATACAACACTGTCTGATTCATTTTCAACAGCTATGCATTATATTTCCTTATAAAAACAGACCAATGAATATTCTCCTATAAGTTAATGTCTTCTAGTCAGAGCCCATGTACAAAATCCTGAGATAAAATGCCAGGACTCTCTTCCTTTACCCCAGACAAATAGTCAATTAATAACTGTCACTGCTTCAAACTGACCCAAAAGTGGCCAAGTGGCACTGCTTCCATATTTGGGCTTGAAATCATGGCTGAAACAGTAATTCACAGCCCACATGAAACTAGTCAGTGTATTCAGTAAAACACAGGTGCAAGGCAAACAGACATCTGTGACACAGAATCCCACAAACAGCTCTTTTCTGATTCAAGGATTTGGAACCCAGACCCCAATTCTAGCTATTTCTTTTCTTTCTTTTAAAGATTTATTTATTAATTATGTATACAGTGTTCTGCCTGCAGGTCAGAAGAGGGCACAGATCTCATTACAGATGGTTGTGAGCCATCATGTGGTTGCTGGTATTTGAATTCAGGACCTCTGGAAGGGCAGCGCTCTTAACCACTGAGCCATCTCTCCAGCCCAAGTCTAGCTATTTCTAAAGCCCAACACTGGGGTGGAAATGGAGCACCTTTAATTCCAGAGCTCTCCAGAGGCAGAGGCAGGTAGATCTGTGAATTTAGAGCTAGCCAGGCCTTCATAACGAGACTTCCTCACAAAAAAACCCAAACAACAAAACCCCACCCAATACGGGGTAGAGATGAATAGCAATGTCTAAGTGAGAGAGGTGAGAGGCACCACCCCTTAACCCAGCCACAGGGGTTACCTGTTTGCAGGAGGAGACTTGTAATTCTTGTTTGTATATATTTCTTCTAAACTAAACTCTTTCTTCTTTAACCTGCAAAGAGAAAAAAGGATTTTTCATGCCTGCTTTCACTCACACAGTCCTTTAGGTTGAAAAGTGAAAACCCTGTTCAGCCCATTCCTTTTTGCCAGAGCTGTGGATAGAACTCAGGTCCCCAGCCAACCAGGCAAGGACTCTGCTGAGTTTCACACCAGTTGTTTGCCTTGTTCCTTCTGGATTCTGAGACAGGGTCTCACTAGGCAGCACTGTCAGACACTCCTGCCTCCTCCTCTGGAAATGCCGGGGTGACAAACACAAACCCGAGCCCAGTGGATTGCTTTCTTTCCATCAGCAATGTTGGGCTTCACGAATGCTGGACAGGTGCTCTACCACTGACACAGGCATCCATTTTGGTTTTTTATATTCTTATTCATGGCTTGGAAATTATAAGCTTTAGTGGCTGGCAAGAATGTAATGAACATAGAAAACTTTTGCTAGGTTTCTTTTTATTCTATTATTTAAAAAAAAAAATCATTTTATGTAGGTGGAGTTTTTGCCTGCATGTACATCTATGCATTATGTGCCTGTCTGGTTCCTGAGAAGTCAAAAGAGGGTAACGAACTCCCTAGAACTGGAGCTACACTTGGGAGCCACCATGTGAGTGCTGAGAATTAAAGCCAAGTCATTTGCAAGCATAGCCGGGGATGAACTCACAGCGACCTGCCTGACTCTGCCTCCTGAGTGCTAGGATCAAAGGCCTTTGCCCTATGTCTTTTAGCACATTTTATTTTTTGAACAAGTGAGATAACCTAGACTGTCTTCTGATTTTGCATGCACACCGTAGCATGTATATGCCCATACACCAAATAAATAAGTGTAGAATAATTTTTCACTTATATTTTCCTTGGAAACAAAGTCATGTTATGTTGTCCAGGGTGGTCTCAAGTACCCCTCAATCTTCCCCTCCGAAGTGTATTTATTATTTATTTAGAGAAAGTGTTTAAGTATGTGATCCAGACTGGTCTCAAACTTTAGATTACATTTATGTATTTATGTGTGCATGTGTGTGTGGGTGAGGTCAGAGAATAACTTGTGTCAGTTTTCTCTTTCTATGTGGGTCCCAGAAATTGAACTCAGATCATCAGGTTCATTTACCATCTCACTGATCTTTCTAACATGCATGTGTGAAGGCTGGAGGGCAACCAAGGGTGCTAGTCAGGGAGCCTGTCCACCTCATTTCAGATATGGTCTCAGCTCACTAGATTAGGCTAGACTGAGCCCCAGAGATCCTTGTTTCCAACAGCTTAGGAATTCTAAGTATGTATTACCAGACTTGGCATATTTTTATCTGGGTTCTTTGGTCCTTGTGATTGCAAGCAAGCAACTTTCTGACTGAAACTTTTCCTTACAGCCAGCTTCAAGCTTTTGACTGTGCCAACCTAGTGCTGGAATTATACACATAAGCAGTAAAGAGTAAATTTTTTCTTTTTTATCTTTTTGGGTTACACACAGGGTTTCTGTGTGTAACAATACTGGAACTTACTCTATAAACCAGGCTGGCCTCGAACTCAGAGATTCTGCTTCCTGAGTTTTGGGATTAAAGGTGTGGGCATCCACTACCTGGTGGGTAATGTCTTTTTTTACCAATGACTTACATACTCTATTGCCTCGATGTACCATCTTATTCAGTTCCTACTCAAGTACATGCTGCTCACATCTAGGCTGGGACAGTTACAACACCACCTAATGCCTTTCCAGTATGTTCTTCCTATCTGTTTCTTCTTTGACAAGATAAGATGTCAGCTCAGAAATTCTGCCCATTTCTGAACTGGGTTGTTCATTTTCTTGCTGAGTTTTAAGAGTTCTTTGTGAGCTGGGAGGTGGTGACGCACGCCTTTAATCCCAACGTTCAGGAGGCAGAGGCAGGCAGATCTCTGTAAGTTTGAAGCCAGCCTGGTCTGTAAGACAGGTTCCAAAGCTACACAGAGAAACCGTCTCAAAAGACAAAAACAAAAAAAGTTCTTTGTGGTCTGAGGACAAAACTCAGAGGAACGGATCTGGCCTGGTCATAAACATAAGGTCTTGGGTTTGATCCCAAAGTATCACTGGACAGATGGAGGGAGGGGTTGTGTATATCGGATAACAGTCCTTACTTAGGTTCCTTATGCTGGTTATATATCTGTATCTTTTTTCGCTCAGCTTATGTTCTAATTTTCTATCCATCAACCATCTACCAATCTCCCTCTACTCCCCCCCCCCACCATGAAGTTAGCTACCTGGCTATCATTTATCATCTACTTATCTACTAACTAATCAACTAACCAGGTCTGGCTATAAAGTTAAGGATAGCCTCAAACTCAAGATCTTCCTGCTGGATTATTGGCATGTGCCACCAGTTCTAGAGTACCCAATACTCCCTTATGACCGCTTTGGATACCAGGTAAGCATATATACACAGATATATGTAGGCAAAATATTCATACATATTAATAAATCTGAAAAAAAAAAAAAAAAAAAAAGAACGGTTACCCAATGTCATCCTGCTGTGCCAAATGCAAATGGTAGCAAGAGAGCTGGCAGGCCTAGTAATCACCACAGGGGCCAGGCTCCTTCCACATAAGCCTGCAGGAAAGGACAGCCTTGCAGAACTTGTCACCCTACGTGACTCAGATGCAGATTCCATGGTTGTCAGTGTGTGGCCCCAGATGCCCAGGTACAGATGTGCTGGGCAGCTCAGGTGCTCCGGGAGCTCCTTGTCACTTGGCAGATGCAGGGTGAGGAGGTGGTTGTGCGTTGTTGTCAGGACTGGAGGTCCCTGTAAGCTAGAACCTCAGCTTAGGGTTGCCAGCCCTTTCTGCTACTGTGGATACGGGCTGCCAATTCATAAAAATGGCTGAATTCCTGGAAGTTCTTCCCCTTTCACTCACTGCCAAGGTTTGGAGAAGGTAATGTCCTTTATTATTGTCCTGTTTATTGGGTAGGGAGAAACATATCTACTTATTTTTGGTTCACATCTACTTTATGAATCTTTTTTTCTCTTCTTTTGAAAGAAGGTCTCACTATATAGTCCTAGAACTCACTATGTAGACCAAGCTGGCCTTGAATTCAGAGATCTGAGCAACACTGCTGAGATTACAGGAATGTGCTACCATGCCCTTCTATGCATTTATTTTATGCTGAATTTATTTATGCAACTTGGTTTTTATTTTTCAAGTTTTTTGTGCAACCTCTTCTGCTGGCTCAGCAATGATTAACTTTCTCCATGTAAGCTTTGTGGCATAGGACCCTCCGTTTAAGTCCAGTGGTACATCCATCTTCAGTGTTCTGCTCCACAGTTACGTTCAATGGTCAAAGAATCAACCTTGAAATGCTTAACTATGGCATTGTTGTGTGCAGTAAATGTGGGATTCCTTTTGTACCACTATCTGGTCTGAGTAATCTACCAGTTCTACCACTGTTATTTGAAAATGGCACACATTACTTCCTTTCTTATGTTGCCCAAGCTGGCCTTCAACTCCTGAACTGAAACAACCCACCTGTCTTAGCTTCCAGAGAAGGACAAACTATAACCATGTGTCACAACACTTGGCTTATACTTGGTTTCTCTAATATGTGTAAATTTTTATATTTTGTGTATGCATTTCTCTTTAAATGTATGTGTTCACCATGTACGCAGCAGACTTAGGAGGTCAAAAAAGGCATCAAACCCCTGAAATTGGAGTTACAGATGGTTGTGAGCCACTGTATTGGTGGGTACTGGGAACAGAACTTGGGTACTCTGCAAGAGCAGCAAGTGCTTTTTAGCAGAGCCATCTCTCCAGCCCCAGGTTTGCATCCACCTCCTAAGTGCCAGGGCCACAGGCGTGTGCCACCATGTCTGGCTCTAGAATTTCTTTACTTTTATGCAGTGTATTTTTCAGCTGTGGTGATACATTTATGATTTATTAAAGCTTGCCTGAGGATTCAGAAAGCAAAGTCAGCCACAAGCCATAGAAGCCAGGCACACACCTTTAATTCCAGCATCCAGAAGCTAGGAGGTGGTGGCACACACCTTTAATCCTAGGACTCAGGATTAAGAAACAGATGGATCTCTCTGAGATTAAGGCCACCCAGGGATACATGAGCTATCCAATGGGCTGCAGCCACAGCTTCAACAGTCTCAACATCAACTGTGGGGACCGGCGATCCTCCCCAGCATGTCCTTCCTTTGTTCCTCTTCCTCAGTCTGAGCACACCCTTCAGAATCTGCAATACATTTACTATCCTACTACAGTCTGAAATTCTGTATTAAATAAAAATACTGTGTGGTTTCTATAGCATGATTGTACCCAAACCAATACATGATATCAAGGCAAAAACCCAAGAGCTAAATCAAGCTGCAGCCTAACACCTACAGTGTGAGCTTTACACCCTGTCCAGGGACTTTCCACATGTACAGAAGAAGACAGCTTTGAGGCAATCAGTGTCTCAATCTTTAATTTATACAATTGACATACTCTTTTACAAAGAGTTCCAAGAAAAAAGAATGATGTTATAAAACAACCTTGAGGAAAAAAGAACAAGACTGGAGGGGCTGGTGACACAGCTCACTGGTTCATAGCACGCCTGCCCCTTAAACACGAGGAGCAGACTGCGGGTCCTAGCGGCCATGTAAGGGGCTAAGTGCTGGCCCTGAAGACAGACAGGTGGGGCTGGGGCTGACTTCACCAGTGCCAGGTTCAAGAAGAAACGCTGTCCCAAATAAAAAAGGCAGAGAATGACAGGACACTCCGTGATGGCCTCATCTGGTCTCCATGCATATATCGGTAAGGAGTAGGGTTTTAACCTTAACATATATCCTCACCTCTCAGGGGTGGAGGTTTTGCTTTGTGCTTTGTGGTGTAATACTTGCCTAGCACACGTAAGTCCCTGGCCTCCATCCCCAGCATGGCAAAAGAAACAATACAAAAACAATCCTGAAGGCATTATAATATCTAACTTTTAAATTTTATTTATTTAATTTCTGGTTTTTTTTTCTTTTTTTTTTTTTAAAGATTTATTAATTTATTTTATAT